AATTTGTGAGTGCTACATCATGGGAGATTTTAAAGAAGATATTGGATAACCATTTTCTTTTTTCATTATTCTGCAGCAAAGTTCCTCTGCAAGAATGTTATCTCAGCAAAAATATGGTATAGTAATCAATACAACTGCAAATAAAGGATCCCCAGATTCAAAGCCTGCCTCTTTTATGGACTTATTAGGCATATTGCAATCAGGAAAAACTGAAACTTGACTATTAAAAAAAGAAGGTTGGTATTTTTTAAGACCGCAACAACAACTGTAACAGGAAAATTAATGACAACCAAGCAGAGCAATCAAGATGAGAGGATTCTGAAGGGTTGAAAGCTTCACCTATCAATACTGTGTCCTTGGTGACTAAGAATATTAAACAAGATATCACAATTGCATTAGGGCGATCAAAGCTATCACAAAAAAACTGGAGCTGATCCTTCAAAATAATGTATTTTTTACATCTGAAAATTGACAAAGGTTTCTTCCCTTTTCCGTTCTTCCCTATCAGAGAACACTACAATGTGTTTTTTTTTCTGGTGGTACACTACTATGTTTGGCTATTTAAAATCACACAGAAGAAATCAGAGGCCAGTTTAAACTTTAGTTTTAATTCTCTCAGGGAATAGTTTCTTGTGGGATCTCTATTCACTGTGTTTCAGTATAAGTCATAACAGTTAACTATCCCATCCACCCCTTTTTTTGAAGAATTTAAATATCTAGCTCCAAACTCCTGTATTTATTCTCTGTAGAACAGATTTGGCAAGTTTTTGCCTTGACTGTTTTTAATTGCTCTGTTTTTTCCCTTTTATTTGAGGAACAAGCAACAGTGAAGGAATACTGCAAACATCACTGTAACAACAGATGCTATTTTTTTTAATAGCCTCAAGATAATATAGACACAATTTTGCATGAAAATCTCCTATTTTCTTGAAACATTACAGGGTTTATCCACAAAAAATCATGGCTACAAACATTTAATTCAGTTAAAGAAACTATTCCTTAAACTAGAACCCCCAAGGCCCTGTATCAAATCTGCTATCAAAAGCAACGGTAAAAAAACTAAAGCCAGTGGCATATTATACTATAGGCAAATTAGGCATTTGCTTAGGATCTTGCAAAGAGGGAGGAGCCTTTTCTAGCCCCACATTTGGTACAAAATTTCAAAGCTACTCCTGGAGATGGAGGATGGAGTGCCCTCTACACGCTCTTAGAAATAATTACAATATTTTCTTGGTAATATTTAAAACATTGTGCTGAAAAGAAACAAAGACATTTTAAATATCTAAATTGATCAAAAAGCTCTGTTTAAACCATAGTTATAAGCATATTCATCACTTTGCCTAATTTAATTAAATATTAATTCTTTAACAGGTGTTCATATCTTGAAAGGACCATTTAATCTGGGTTCCTGTACACATCAATGAATCAATTTTCACAGCATTAACTATTTTCTCATTCCATTAGTGTTTCATTACAGGATGGATCAGCTAGCTATATATTACCAAATGAAAGATACCTGTACAAAAAGAAAATTAATAACTTAATTTGATTTATATTAATGATTAATACTTTAAAGATATTTCTAAAATAGGCACACCTGTATTCCTGCATACTTTTTCAGGGTAAAGACAAAGAGAGTAAAAGCATTCATAAAATATAGCTATGTCTCTTTCAAGATAAACACAAAAAAAGACTAAGTGGAAAAATTAAATAATAATAAAATTTAAATAAACTTTGCTAAAACTGTTTTATAGCAACACTTTTCAGTATATCTATTCTTTCATTTATTTCTTTATAAAACATGTTTTTTATTATATCAAATGTGGTTTTATATATTAACTTTTGTTTTTTTAAAATTTCTCATTTGTCTCTTTTCAAAGTTTTCATCTGCTATGTTCAACCACACCTTTCTCTCAAACCATGCACTCTTCCTTCATATGTATGTTTTGCAATTCATTCATAATTCATTCTCTCTACATTATTATTTACATAGAACTTCAATTTCTAAAACCATCCACTCACAAAATTATTTTGGGCAGTTTATAAAGGATTTTAAAAAGACAAACAGATAAAATAAATAAATATCACGCCATAAAGATTTTGCTTTTTGCTTTTTACTTTTCTTTATGTTGGCAAGTCTTAGTGGACATATATACCTTTTGAAAAACTTAAACCTATTTAGAAAGCAAACAATGTACTTCTTTCATATTAGTCATTCTTTTTTGCATTTAATCCACTTTCAGGCCTGTTATCTTTGCTGGCATCCTGCCATAAAATGCAAGGGAGGAGAGAGGAATGATGGGGAAGTATGGAATTGGGCAGAGGGAGGAAGAAAAGGAATGAGAGGGTGACAGGAACCCAAGTTGTCAATCCGGAATGAACCGGCAGATCAAGGACAGAATTGTGAGAACGGAATGAGAAATTCAACCAAAGAAGTGCCAAACTTCAAAGCCATTCCCAAACCTGAATACTATTGGACACTGATAGATCATGGGGGGAGGACCAGGGAAAGGGAAAAACACAGACTTTGCGTGGGAACATTCAGATCCAGTTTTGCTAACCTTGTAACCGCTTGAGCTTAGTAAAACTGAACCTTTCACTTCAACCATGGAGTCGAGGGTCTTTTCTTCCTAAACACCAAGTCAGGACAAACTTGAGATCCACATTCATTCAGCAGCCATTCATTCCTGACCTTCTCTCTTGTTTTACCACACATATTTTTTAATTACTCTTTTCTCACTGCTTTCAATTTACTTTAATGTTTCTCCTGATATACTCATTCTCATGAATGGACAGTTATTGAGTTTTCAGACAAGAGCACAATATCATCCACATAATAAAGTACACATATATTCTAAATGCAACATACCTCTAATGTTATTCAAAATATTTGTTATACATTAAGCTACAAATTAATTGAAAAACCAAGGGAATGACTTTGTCTTATTCCCTGCTCCGTATTCACTAGCATCCAATTTATTCTAGCACTTTTAATCATTCTTACTGACCTTCTGAACCATTTCTCAGGATCTTTCTTAAAATATGGTATCTAGAACTAGAACAATACTTTGACCAAAGCCAAATATAAGAGTGCAATTATTTCCTATGCTTTGCAAATTATATTTCTTTTGATGTAGCTTAAAATTTCAGCTACGTTTGAATATGCTGGCACATATTCAGCTATCAGCTACTATTTAAAATTCTTTTTTCTCAAATATTATTACAATCTAAATATTCCACCTATCTATGCATTTGATTTTTATTTCCTAAGTGAAGAAATTGCATTTATCTTACTAAAATTCATTCAGTTACTTTGTCTATTTCTATCTTCTAAGCAAATAGCTATCTCACTGAGTTTTGTGTCTGAAATTTGAAAACCATTCCATCTCTTCATACTGTCTCTGTAGCTGACTACAATATGTGCTCTAGGCATAAAACCAGACTCATCGATCTAAGCTAAGCAATAAAGGCAATAATTCTTCCCTAGTAAAAATAGTCATGAGCATGTTCTTATCTTTATTCAGCAGGACCTTGGGCCAATATGAATTCAGGTTCTAAATCTTTACTCTTATGAGTAATAATTATATGACCTACATAGATGTCTCCGAAGATCCCTTAAGAGAAGCCATTTCTATGATAAATTTTACACTTTTTTAAACATCTAAGCAGCACTTTTTTCTCCTCTCCAATCACCTTTTCCTCTCAGTTTATCTTCATCCAAATTTTATCTCTATCCATTTTCCATGTCCATCTTTTTTGTTTTCCACCTCTACTTAAGCAACAGAAAATAGCCCAGGTCAATCTAATTAAGCAGGCAAAGATAATCAGGGATAGGTGATCCTGCAAATACCCAGGCCCTGGCCTTGAAGAGTTTTAAAAGTAGTAACCAGCATCCTGAATCACATACAGTGCAGGGTGCTAAACAGCAGTGTTACATGGGTATATTAAAATGCATCCTTAACAATCCATACCGCTGCATTCTGAACCAGTTGCAGCTTCCAAATACTCTTCAAGGGAAGCCATGTAAAGCATACTGCAAAAGGGACCAGGTAGTCCTCAATTTGCAACCATTATTTAGGACCGTTTGAAGTTACAACAGTACTAAAAAAAAGTGACTTATGATCGTTGCAGCATCTCTATGGTCATGTAATCAAAATTCGGATGCTTGGCAATTGGCATGTATTTATGACAGTTGCATTGTCCTAGGGTCATGTGATCACCCTTTGCAATCTTCTAATAAGCAAAGTAAATGGGGAAGCTAGATTCACTTAACAACCATGTTACTAACTTAACAAACACAGTGATTAATTTAACACCTGTAACAAGAAAAGTCATAAAATGGGGCAAAACTCACTTAACTGTCATGCTTAGCAATGGAAATTTGGGGCTCAGTTGTGGTTGTAAGTTGAGGTCTACCTGAAGTGACAAAAGGACTGATTGATGGTATTGAAGGCTGCCAAAAAAATAAAAGCAAGCCTGGATGGATGCACCAATCCCATCTTGAGTCCACCATAAGTCATTCACAAACACCATCCATATTGTCTCATTACTATGCCCAGGCCTGAAACCTGATTGTAAATTATTCCAGATAATCTGTTTCATCCCAAGCTCAACCACCTTTTCAACAATCTCCCCAAGAAATGGAACATTGGAAATGGATTCAAATTGTCCAATACCACTGAGTTTAGTTACAGCTTTTTGAGGAGGGAATACACTATTGCCTCCTTAAGTACAAGTGGATTCAGCCCTTCACTCAACAATGAATTCACCAGTGCCTGAAACCAACCACATGTCACTTCCCTGGAGGTAGAACAAGGGAAGAATATGAATAGGTAGCCAAATTGACAACCATAGCTTCGAGCAACTCAGACAGGGAAGCAGCCCTGCAGCAGAAAGCAAATAAAGCACCAGAAATTCTATCTGTTCCCTAGATCTCAAGTTCAGATATAACTTAGATTAAGTTTATCTGCCACTTTTTTCTTCCTCACTATGTAGAAAAGCCTGGAGCTACCAAATGCTAATTTACCTTTTCAAAGGGAGGAAAATGAAGCTTTCTCCCGCAAATTTCTCTGAAATCTTCAAACTATATAGCTACTCACATTTTGTTCTTAATTCTCCTTTTGCTATCCTTTCTCTGCTAACATCAAGCTCTTTTGAATTTCTTAACTTCCAAGATCTACCCACCCTTCTTCTCCTTTGGCAGGCACAGTGTACATACGTCTCACAACCCCTCAATTACAGCTGGCCATCTTTCCTGCTAAAACAGATTAGACTGGTGCTGCAATTTAGAGAACCTTCTGACTAACCAACAGTTTTATTAGTCCCAGTTTTCAATTTTGCATTGCATAAACCCATGGATGAACAGAGTAATTTTAACTCTATTTTAAACTTTACAGTCCAGATTAACCATCCATTTTAGGATATGGAAGAATAGAACTAAATTTTAAGCAGTGGGTATGGTTTGACCTTTAAAAAAGATATTTTATTGACTTGACATTTTAAAATATTTATATTCTAATTAATGGCATACTTAAAACTTATAAGCAAAAAAATATCCCCAATATCAAATCATAAAAACAAAAACAAAAAGCAACATTCCAAGTTTCAAAAAAGAACAATAATTTGAATTACAAGATCCCCTATTTAATTAAGAAAGATTTACCATTCAGTCTGAAAGCAGTCTAATGTCCTGTTCATTCCCATTCTAATTAAAAAATTGCAAAGAAAGTCATCTACAATTTCAGGTGTTTCAGACAAAGATTGTTTAATGATCTGGCCTGGCCGTTGAGCCTAGAAAGAAAAATTCAGGAGACATTTTAGAAACACCACCTGCTTCATCATTTGTTTCAGGAAAAAAAATTAAATCACACGGTAGTTTTTCGTACATTACAGTTTTTCGTACATTAGTTTTTCGTACATTAGAGAGAGATATAGGCTGTTGATAGTCCATTTTTTATGATGCAGCTTTTTAGAGTAATTTCATAAAGAAACTGTAGTGATGAATTTATCACTAGATTGTGATTAGCATCTTTATGCAATAATCTGGAAGTTAACTTTGTCCAAGGGTATCAGGAATTACGTTAGATACTATGATATGAATATTTTAAATATTGTTCTCTATCCTTCTTCACCTTCTAATGGGATCACTTTTACTCCTTTGACTCCTCACTGTATATGGCCCTGTCCTACAAGTCTGGAAACAACTAGATGACACCAAAGAATTAGATTAGATGGCTTTTTTTTCTACCATCACAATGTTAGCAGCCCAAATATAGTAGCCCTACTTTTTTGATCACCTTGTAGGGGAGAGAATAGATTTTGTGTAAGAGTATGGAGGAAGTGTTTGTGTTGGTCTACACTATACTTCATTGATATATATTAATTTTTGTTATGGACATCCCTCAGAAATTCAGACCTTTGTAGAAAAAAGGGGGTAATATCAAATATCCATATGCTAATGTTTTAGGCCAGTGATGGCAAACCTTTTAGAGACCGAGTGCCCAATCTGCAACCTAAAACCCACTTATGTGTCGTCGGGTGCCAGGTGGGCGTGACCAATTGGGTGGGCATGGTCCATTGGGTGGGCGCGGCTGCAGTGGTAACGGCAGACTGGGTGGGACTAAAAAGTTCAATCAATTAATTCCAACTTTGCGAGATCTTTTTTTTTCCGGCGAGAAGTTGAAATTGATTGATTGAACCTTTTTTCTTTTTTGCACACTGTGGCGGAGCTGAAGGCCTAGGACTAGGGCGACGGCGTGTGTGCCCACAGAGAGGGCTCTGCGTGCCACCTGTGGCACGTGTGCCATAGATTCGCCACCACGGTTTTAGGCAATTTAACTAAGTCTAAGTTCAACTCATGCAAACTGATTGTTTTTTCAAGTCAGTTATGAAGAATCTTTCATATTAAATTATTTTATTACTTTATTTATTATGAACTCATGCAAATTAACACAGCATATGTTATGATATGTAAGATATTTACCATAATTTGGGCATCAATAGTCTGTTCCTGCATTGTGTGTAAAGCTTTTGCCAGATCTTCATCGCCTTCCTGTAGGCTAAAATCTTCATCTGCTGGAATCTAAGTCGAATTATAAATAGATCTAAAATTAATAGACTCACTAAAGAGGGGAAATGTTTCAGTGTTAAGTATCACAAACTCTTTTAGACAGAGCTGAAATGGGGTTCACGTAGAGAAGGTACTATTCTGTGCATATTAGAATTCAGCTTCAGGCTCTAGCATGTTGCTCAAATATAAATATCTGATTAGGAAAGATTCTTTGACTGAAATCCAGGAAAGCAATTTTAAACAGGGAAGATTGCTTTTAGGGTTTAATTATGTAGAAGAGAAGATGTTTGCATTTGGCTACCTGTGCAGTCTTATTTTGTCACTGAAAAAACAATGAGTAGCAAAACCTGCCAGAAAAAAAATCCAGTGAACCTTCAGACCTGTAAACAAATTTCAAAAATTATGCCAACTCTGGAACTGCACAGTCAATAAGAAAGAAGTATGTTTTAAGTTCTAAAAAGAATGTAAATAGCAAAGAAGGGAAAGAGAGTCACCTTGAAGAGGAGATGGGTGGCATAAAAATTTAATAAATAAATAAATGATGCCACCAAACACCCCAAACATATTTTACTTTTGTAAACATTTCTTCCTTTCCCATAAGATCATTAAGTTTGTTCAGTGCTTTTTTAATTTTGGTATTAAAAAATTAAACCATCTTTGCTATTTGTTTTTTTTGCAGTGGTGATTTGACAAGCCACCTATTCATTTTCCAGCTAGCATTTAGCATCCTTGAATTCTCATTAGCTTATCTTCATATATAAGCAAATTAATAGTTTTTGCCACAAATTAAAATTTCTCAATAATTTACTATTAGATTTTATTTAAAAAAATTAAACAAAAGTATTACCAATAATGACATTTTAATAGCAGCTATACCGGCTCATATGTTTTTCCATTTCTTATCCTCCTATTTATAAGGTTGAAGATTACTAAATTGCTCATATTCATAAAAAAAAGTATTTAAAAGCCATTTCTAATTAGATCAGGAAAAAAATTCAACTTCATAATACTGATTTTATACACACATAGAGACCTATTTACTATTAATTTATCAAGATCGGAAAGCAAGATCAGAGAATGGATCAGAACTTCATATGCATAAAATGCTACTTGAGGTTCTTACCTCTTCGTATTGATAGTCATCTTCAGAACTTTCAGTTATTGTAACCTCTGCATGTTTAGTTAAGTCTACAACATGAAATTGTATTGGTTACAATATAATTTAATATTATACCTGATATGCATACAAAGTGCTATTTTAGGCCATTTATTCATTTTATATAAATATCTGACTAATACTAAAATTAATATAGCTGCTCATTTGGTGAAATGGGTGGCAAAGAAATTTAATAACTAAATAAAATAAAATAAATCCTAAACCTAACTTATGGACATAACCTAATCAGTTAACTTTGCCTTTTCAAACATTTAAATTTTAAATCTTCTCCAGAAATGCTGAATTAGATTCTATTCTCATCTCTACTATGAGAATATCTCTCACGGTTTACCTGTTGTAAGGACCCACCCCACTTTGCATCTTAAGAAGACAGAACTCCTGGAATATTTCTTCCAACAGGCATCTTTATTAAGAGAAAGCTGGATGCAGGCGTTCTAGACAGGACTTGGGTCCAAGCTCTCCCATTCAAGGTTTTAAGGGATCCCCCATTAGCCACACCCCCGTCACCCCCTTCTCCCAGCGACAATCCCAAGCATTACATTCTCACCCCCTTTTCCTCATTGCCGGGAGGAGACTTCAAAAAAGGATTACATAAAAGCTAATGACCCTCATTGTTATTGTTAGTCTGTTTGGTGATATCCACATCCAGTCCCTTTGAAGTAGGCTGAAGGAAGTGAGGGCCATAAAGCCCCTTTGTTCACCCCCTTCCCTTCATCGTATGACAGAATCCAGAGCAGGCAGAAATGCAGGTTTTCATAGTTGATAACTAGAGATGGAATATATTTGGATTCTGACATCCTGCCCCCTCAAAAATAAGATAGATCCACCTGAAAGAAAACAAAACAGGTATAAAAGTTAGTCAGGTTTGTTAGGATACTCTGTGTGAAACTTCTTTAATAGCTTCTGGGCTCTGACATGACGTTTATGGACCCACTTGTTTTGTGACGCAGGGAGGTGTTTCCAGGCAACTAGGTACTGAGTTGTTCCATGATATCTTCTAGAGTCAAGGATTTCTTTTATTTCGAAGTGTTGTTCACCTTCCACCATGATTGGAGGTGGTGGGGGGGGG